TGAATAAGTCAATGAGTGAGTGCGAGTGTGAGGGAGGGAGGGAGGGAGGTAATGGTTGATTGATTGGTTGATTGGTTGATTGGTTGGCGGGTTGGTTGGTTGGTTGGTTGGTTGGTCAATTCATTGGTAGATTGACTGATTGCTTGATTGATTGCTTGATTGATTGCTTGATTGATTGCTTGATTGATTGCTTGATTGATTGCCTGAGGGAGGGAGGGTGGAACGTATCGAGTCAGTGTGGGCTGGAGGGTGGGCAGGTAGACAGGAGGAAGGGAGGAAGGGAGGAAAGGCGTGATTGGTTGATGTATTGAATGGTTGGCTGGTCTTGTGAATGGCTGACTGATCTTTGAATGGTTTGTCGATGGTTGATGTATTGAATGGTTGGCCGTTCTTTTGAATGGTTGACTGATCTTTGAATGGTTGACTGATGTATTGCATGGTTGGTTGATTTATTGAATGGTTGGTTGGTTGGTTGGTTCGTCGGTCTGTCGGTCGGCAGGTCGGTCAGTCGGTTGGTCGGTCAGTTGGTCGGGTTGGTCGGTCAGTCAGTCGGTGGGTCCATGGGTCAGTGGTTGGTTGGTCGGTCGGTCATTGGTCGGTTGGTCGGTTGGTCGGTCGGTCGGTCAGTTGGTGGGTCGGTGGGTCAGTTGATCGGTCAGTTGGTCGGTTGGTCGGTTGGGTGGTTGATTGGTTGGTTGGTCGGTTGATTGGTTGGTGGGTGGGTTGATCGATTGGTTGATCGATTGGTTGATCGATTGGTTGATCGATTGGTTGATCAATTGGTTGATCGATGGGTTGATCGATGGGTTGATTGGTTGGTGGATTGACTGACTGGTTGATTTACTGGTCAATTGATTGTTATATCGATTGGGCTATTAGTTGGTTGATTGATTGGTTGATTCTTTGATCGAAGAATTGACTGGTCGATTGTTTGGTTGGTGAAGCAATTGACTGGTCGATTGACTGATTGGTGGAGGAGGGAAGGGAGGAGGGGAGCAATCAAGAGACTGAATGAGAGAGGGGGGCAAAGCGGGTAGGACAACAGGAGGGAGGGAGGGAGTGAGTTGTTGGCTGATGGAGGGAGGGAGGGAGGGAGGG